GACGTCTAAACTGCTAAGTTAATTATCTATCTCTTAAGCAATCCTTTTTACATCCTTTTGTATTATACCTTGGCATGAATTTTATTCATTTTTGTTCAGCTTACAGTGACCACATAGTTTCTATTTGTTTATCAATCTTCCATATAAATAAAAATGCATGCCGTTCTTGATTGGTTTTTAGTGTTTAATGGAAAGGTCTATTTCGTCAGGCCTTTTTCCAGAAACAGACTTTCATTTATTCATTATTTATGATTAAGGTGTGAAATCATATTTTTCAAGTTTTGATATATAAAAATATTAATCCTACTTATCTATATAGATATTTGCCTATCTTCATGTATCTTTTTTATTAAACTTTTTTCATTCCTCCCTTATTTTATATGAAACTCCCCATTCTTCATTCTTAATTCAGGATTACATTCGATGGCGAGACGGTCTCACCGAAGCTGATCGTCTTGATCGCCAGATTGCCCGAATCCTCGGCCATTCTGTGCCTCCTCCAGCTCCTCCCGTTAATCGAGCTGATACATTGGGTAACAACACTACTAACAGCCCTATCAATATTGTCGCATCCGCCTCTGCTGCTCATTGTAGTGGGAATAATAACAACAATAACAAACATAAGAGTAGCGGCCACAACAACTTCAACCCCTCTGCCATCAGACCAGGCAAAGCTCAGATTCCTGTAGAGATTGGGCATTTCTCAGAGACTTCTTCAAATACGGTCATTTTGAATGACAATTCTACAGTCAATGTTTCTGCTCCTGTTTATATCACCAACTCGGACGAACACACTCGGTATGTCTATGGATCTTGGTTCTCTGTCTGTCAACGTTTTCTTATATATAAGCAGAGTTTCGAGACTACCAGTAAATCAGTTATATGAGATGTATTCACTCTATTTCGTTTAAGGGGATTAAGGACTGTTAATATAATTTCCCCACTATTATATAAGTAAAGCTGACATTTCCATTGAATTTCACATAGCCTTGCTTTCCCACAAGTTGTTGTCATCCAGGGCACTCGTGGCAATGTGGCTGAGTGGTTAACATGTCAAGCTCACATCCTGCACTGTCACGTTTCAACTCCCGCTGGGGGTGTTGATAAAACCTAGGTGAGGTCGAAACTGCAGTCCACCCTGGATGATGACATGTTTCTGAAAAACAAGGCTATGCAAAATTCAGTGGTAACGTCAGCTTTACTCATATCATTGTGGAAAAATTCTACTAACAGTCCTTCATCATCTTAATCGAAATAGGATGAATACATTTTATATAACTGTTTCTTAGTTTATTTCATCTTCTTTTCTACTCGAACTAATCTACCCACGCTTTATTCCCTTTTATTTTAATGCGCCTGTAGTTACCTATCCCTACACTTTTTCCATTTAATGTTTAGTTTTGCTACATTCCATACGTAGCCACGGCTCAACACTCTTGGGCACAGAGATCACATTAGGGCATGACTGATCTTCACTCTCTATTTCGCGTCGATCAATTAAGGCTTGGCACCGCAGCATCCAATCAGAAGTTGACATGGATAACTACGCAAGTGTAGCTAACATCAAGTAGCAAGTAGCTAATATCCTGTTTAGTTTGGTCACGTTTTCTTTCTTCTCTTTCTTCCATCGACTGTAACCCGGGGTCCAGAATTTTCTATTTCGTTCCGGCTTTCAATGATTGTCTTTCTATTCTCAGGCCTCCATACAGTATTCATCCGTTTCTAAATAGGACATTTGGCAATATTATTTTTTCTTTTCTCTCTTCGTTAGGGGTATCCAACTTTGGAGTTGTAGAGTGCAAGCGTTTTATATTTTAGACACAATCCGTGTCCTCTTTGGAACACTAGAAGCTAATGCTTATTAATTCTTAAGCAAAATTTCCTTCTATTCATAATTAAAGCACATTCATTGCCACTCTCCTTACATCATCACAATGAGGCCTAATATCTAATGATATTTTTGCTTTCTGGATATTCTGTTTGACTTTTAATTTTTCATGCTTGACCGATATTATTTTTGTTGATGGGTCTTTGCTAGCCTCCTAGATATCATAGTAGGTAGCTTCGATAAAGTGTATATTACTTTCGTTCTTGAGCCCACTTCAATTTCGAATGAAAGTGTGTGATAAAGATATTCGGAGGTCGATCCTCTTGACCTGCTGTCTTTTGGCTTTACTTGAAAATTCCTGTATTCCGGTGTTAATTTCCAATAAGACAGATCACATTAATTCAAACCAGATTATCTCTGAATTGCTGTTTTAAATTTGTCGATTAGACTATCTTGATCGGCTTTCACACTTCCACGATGCGTAATCTATTTAGTCTTCCGCATTTGACACCAATTTTTTTTTACTAAACCGCATATTTTTACCTTTGAAAACCATACACACCATTTTATCTGGGAGCTATAAGCGTTCATATTCAAGTCCCGCAGCTTTGATTTAAAGTAATGCCTTGAATATAATTCTAATACTCGGAACCCTTTTGATATTTATCCCTAGTCCATACTGTAAAGAGAATACTAGGCTAGTAGAAATACCCAAAAGAGGATAAGGAAGACTTTATATAGAAATATTTGTTTTGGAAAATTCACTTAGAATATTCAGATGGATGCAAAAACCTAGCTTTGTGAATTGTAATCAGATTAACCAATTTATGATTTCTCCGTAGCTAGGTAATTGTTCAAAGGATGAAGTAAGCTCCTCGCTTTAGTGAATGTGTATTATCTGCAAATTTATTTATTTAAATTCTACTGGTGTCTTTATTTCAATTTCAATTGGTCACATGCTTATTAAACTGGATGCTTTGATTTTCATAACTTAATGGATTTTATTCCATTTCTGAATCATAATATCTTAACTTCTATGATTCGTCTATTTTCTTGTTAAATGAACCCCTGGGATAGTTGCTGATATTATTGCCTTCTCATTGTTTGCTTGCGATCCTCGTTTCGTTCAATACTCACGTATAGATTTTCATATTTTCCTTTCTCTCTCTCTCTCTCCGGCATAGCCTCTAACAAGTTGTTGATATAAGCTACGACACAAAAGATGTTTTATTGAAATTTTAAATGAACACCAGTTGAGCCAAAAATCTATCTACCACATTTCTCTAGCAATACCTTATTTGAAATGGTCTGATCTCGTTTTCGCAACTTGATCGTATTGTTAGAGCGAAACGAAAACGAGGTCAGACCACTTCTATATGTAAAGAGGAGTCT